TTCTTTATTCTGGTCTTTCAATTGTCGAGATCTTTCATAGTGGTTTAATGAACATTTGTTTTGAAATGTCTCCATCAAAAAAAATATTGACAGTGTTAAATCGTGTGATCATGAAGCTTATAAGAACGACCGACCTTTTCCTTCACCATTCATCAAACTTGTGGTTCAATTAGGCACGAACTATCTTCAAGAAATATTATTTTTATCCCATCTGTATAACAAAATATGCTCTTCGTTAGGAACTACTCAGTGCCGATATTAGTTTTTCGTCTCTAATTCATAGTTAGATAATCGAAGATTGCTCATGTCAGGTACAACCCAATGTCGAATAACAAACAATTAAGCACTGAGATTGTATTCATGACGTAGAATCTTTATCATCAGTCAGGCATCTTTTTGAACGCAACAATTTGTCTTATATTTTTACAGCCAGAAGTATCGAAGCTATTTATTATAAGTGAATTGAAAATGGTTCATTGCATGATCATGAACTATTAGGAAGATCGTTGTCAGCAGCAGCTGAAAAAGTACAAGATATTGATATGTTAATCCTATAGCTCGACAAATACTATTTGTTGTGTGGCTCGAAATTATTCATATCAAAAGCGGTTGTGCAATGATTCATGCGTCAAGTATTGAGATATGAACCAGCTAAAATGTAAATAACACAAGAAAATATACGATGAAGACAAGAATTTACGTATTAAATCTATCAAAATTGTGTTACTGATTCTTAATGATCAAAATAATGATGATCTGATCGTTTTTTCTGATAAAGTGACTTTTCATATGTCAAGTGTAGTTAAAAAAAAACAAAACAGCCGCATTTGAGCTTAAAACAATCTCTTTACCTTTCTGGAAATGGTAATGAGTTTAACAAATGATATGGCGTGGTATGCCATGTCAAACAAGTCGATTAATGAGCCAATTTTTCTTTTAAGAGTCGACGAATGATCAAGAAAATCACCTTAGCCTAAAAAAAAGATTACTAGAAGGAGAATATTTCAAGAGGACGATACGTCGATGCGTTTTTTGAAAGATAGTCCACTTCTAGTTGAACTACAAATCTGATGATCGATGGATTAGAGGAGGTGACCCGATCTCATAGGCTCCATGATCATGAGAATCAGCAATATTGGAATTTTGTTTAAAGGGACATGTCAAAACAACTATTTATGAAAGGATTATAAAAGATCTGGACGATTTACAAATGAGAATAATTGAAAACATTGAAGCAATTAAAAACAAAATGCTGCACAAGATTTTTCTGAACTCAGGGAAAAGACTAAATTTTTCTTTTTCAGTTTAAGACATTAGCTTTGAATCATACTTGTGAAGTTTGTTCATTTAAATAAAAATTCTGTGTATCCATCTATTCTTTAAAAAAAGCTAATGGATAAAGTTAAATCAAATAGAAAACATATACGCGAAGACTTTGAGGAAGGAACTTTAGGAGTACCATGTATACAATGGACAAGGATCTGCACAATTGCATGATCATTAATTTCGTAATATAAGCTATCATTCCTATAATAGGTTTCACATCTGTTGTGTAGTTTTTTTGAAAAAAAAATAATATCTTATATTTATGATACCAAAATAAAGAAATGCCTAACCCTCTCAATTAAAGATGAAAACTTCTTAATCTCTATCTCATGAAGGAAGATTACCCTAAACGATAGATTTAGCACAGTAAAATATAGAAAAACGAAAAATAAATTAATCTGTAAAACAGAAGTATGATTACAAATAAATATATCGTGTTGATTATTACACAGAAGTAATCAAATAGAAATTTTTTGATTAATAGCTATTTGTAGTCATATAGTTAAAAAAATGCAAAAACTAAAACTATTTGTATGTAGTATTGTCTAGATGTCTTCATGATGTCATATCGCAATTGACTTGTACGACAATTAATTAGGGTCTTTTCGTTTCATTGCATATAACAGTGAATTTGAAAATATTTATTTTAGTATCAATCTTGTTATCGAAATATAAAAAATGAAATTTAAACAAATCTCTATTTGACACTTTAAAAAACTCTTCTGTCCAAGCCGACAAATGCAGAGTTTCAAATGAAAAGTCATTAGTCTTTTCTTTAAAGCTACCATTCAACGAAATCGTATCAATGCAATGATTAGTCAGCCCAGAATAGATTATAAACAACATCATTCATTGAAATAGTTTCTCGTTTATGTATTGTATTATGTCAATTTTCTTCTTTATATAACTTCAATCTATTTTTGTAGATACAAGTGCATAAATATTTTGCTGACTATTCTGCAAGAAAATGTGCATGAGCACTACATTCTGAACTCATGTTATTGCCTATGAGTAAATCGGTGATTAACAACTCATATGATGATTTGTTAGAGAACACGAATTTTATTCATGAACATAAGATTTCTGGAATATTCACACGAGTATTCTGAGTACTCATACTTCCAAATTGTACTCGCTTGATGAGTACTTGCACTAGGGAATGAATATCACGTAATCAGTCGTTTTTTGTTCGTATACACTGGTGTTATTTGATGTATCTATGAGCACTCGCTTTTTTCCTCTAACAATGTTTTATAGATTAAATCTCAAACTTAGAGCCATATGTTTACCTTGAAAGAATAGCATTTACTGATGAATGAAGAGAATTGTCTTTGTAATTTCATCGAAAAATAGGCGGTTCTAGCTCTACAAGAGAATGCATGATAATGTTTCAGTATATTTCTTAGAGAATAGTTAGTTTTTATTATGCTTCTTGATTATCTTATCCTTAATAGATAATTTGAAGCAAAAAAGAATGAGAAGCTCTAATACATTGAAAACATAGACTGGAAATTATGGTTTGCTGAAATAAAAGAAAAGATTCATTGAAACAGAAATTGTTAGAATAAAATTTCTATCACTAATTGAATATGTTTGAGAATTTTATTTCATGTTTTACAAAATCTACGGAAGTCAAGAGATCATAAAATGTCAAATGATGATCTCTTGTTATGTGTCTCCTTGCAGGCAAACAGATAATGAAAAAAAAGCCTTAAAACTTATGTCAATACGTTGACGATGAAGATTTCATCAATAAAAGCATAGAATATAAATATTAAGGAATACTTTCAATTAAAAAATAACAGTAAATATACCTTAGCACTTTCGTCTTTACGCAGTACCCTCAAGTGAGTTCTTATTTAATATTTATATTTGTGTCTTTTAGAAGTTATTACAACTTCAATAAGTGAAATTCAACCATGTATTAACAGAAATTTCTTAGACTAATGAAAATTCTCATTTTGTTAAAAATAGTCGTTCACTTCAAAATTCTAGTAGCAAAAGTCTTTAAAAGTTGTTTTCTCTCCTTCTTTATTTTCACTCGTTCATTTTATAAAATTTTCGTTGATATATTAAATTTAGCGTATATTCTATATTTTCTTCAAGTCAATTTCTATTAACGAGATATAGACCAATGATTCTAGTTTTCATAAACATTCTTTTCAAAATACACCAACAGTTTATTTCTTGAGACAGACTAATATTCGATATCTATTTGTCTTGATATATTACTACTTAGGTAGAAACAGAGCAGAAAAAATATTTTTCTCTCTACTTCAACTAATTGTTAACGACTTTAGCAATATAAATTTCCGCTTGAGTTGTGTTCTATGAAATTGTTGAATATGTACAATAACACAAAGATCTACTTAACATTTTGGAATATAGACCAAAGAAAATTTTCGTTGCATCAAATTCAGATTCAGTAGTTTTGGTATTTATATACAGTAATTGCATCTGATACAACGAAACTTGTTTTATCAAGACTTGGTAATTTACTATTATATCAATTAAAGAAAAGAACGATGTCGTTTACGAAGTCATTATCATGAAATCTAAGAAAAACCTAGCAATAATACACAAGATAAAGAAAATCCTAATCATCAGACTTTCAGTAAATACAAACATATGTTTCATATCGGATCTTTTCATCAAAATAGAAAAGCTTTTTATCAATTAGGATTCAAGTTTATCGTGACTTTTCACATTACTCAGGCACCCATTAACGAAATGAAAATATTTGCACAACAAACAAAAACACACAACCAACTGCTTTTACATCTTACACGATGCATATCTATGTCATCTGTAATAGTATTAGAATAAAATTCATGATGTATATTTTATTTTTCTCTTTTCATAGTTTTAGTTTTATATAAGGAACCATTCTGAAAAAGTGGTACTTTCAAATCAGTTACTTATAGGGAATTAAGCTTTAATGAGATAAGAAAAAATCTAAGAAGTAATGGCTGTGAACACTTTGTTTTATATGATCATTTTTTAATATAAAACTTGATTTTACTATTGACAAAAAAAACATAAGAATTAAACGTTCAATGATATTAAACTAAATCATTCATTTCTCTCTCAAGACTTTCATTTTTTGATAAATAAAAGGATTATAATTTTCCTTCATAGTTTCAAATGAGAAGTTTCAATCATTTCGGAAATATGATATAAATTCAAGTTCACATACTTTTCGATGATGTATTTATAAACACATCGAATGTCAACGAATACGTTACGACTGTTCTCTTGAGACCGAATCAATTATCGCCGTTTTTTTATACTAAGATTATCTATATGATTCGACTGTGGCTAGAGTATCTTATAGATAAATTAAAATATTTCTCAGTATAATTTGTTCGCTCTAATTGTCTACCTTAGGGGATCAATCATACGTTAGCAATCATAACCATAGCTGTAAAAACTTTTAAATGAAGGCTGAATTGATAGATGATTAGTATCATGAATACAGCTTTAATAATGCAATAGTAGTAATTCTTCTTGAGATAAAATAAGCATGCAGATAGACGCTATTGTTGTTCTTACTTATTAATTTTACAAATATATCCTGTCAATATTATTTGATAATTGAACAGGAAATATAGCTAAAAATGTATTCCTCTTTCCGATGCAAAAACAGCTATCTTAATCCGTATGTCATATCCGGTCGGCATGCCGAACATAGTGAAGGAAAGACAAAAATATTCCTTCTATAAACTTATTTAGCATGCACAGACATAGTTTTTTTTATAAAAATACAGCTATATCACAACTTGTTTTTTTTCTTTTTTTTTTGTAGATATGTTCAAGCAACAAAGATATATATATTAGATATGACATCAATATCACTTGCTCAAGCTCAGAGACTTATGTCTTTATATGGTCTCTCTACTTTTCTTGTTCTTGGTACAGTTGGAAATTTTCTTTTGTTTTGTGTACTTATTCAAAATACACATCGACGAAATTCGTGTTCACTCTATTTACTTTCCATTACAATTGTTAATTTTATTCTTATTCAATGTAGTATACCATTTGCTGTATATGCAGCTATTGATGTTGAAGATCAAAAAATCCCACTTATTTGGTGTAAAATGCGTAGTTATTTATTTAATGCTCTACTTATGCTCTATCGTTGGTATAAAATGGCTGCATGTGTAGATCGTGCAGCTATGTGTAGTCGTCATGTATGGATACGTTCATTTAGTCAAGCTCATATTGCTCGTCGAGCTATTTTAATAATAACATTTGTTTGGCTTTTGATACCTATTCATTTGTTTCTCTATTTTCGACTTGAATCTGATGGATGTGTTCCACAATCAGGTGCATATGCAAAGTTTTTCAGTGCATATTCTATAGCAATATCTGGATGGCCACCACCAATAGTTATGATAATATGTGGTATAATATCATATCGAAATTTAAAGAAAGTATGAAAAGATAAATATATAGATTGATGGGTACAAATACTATTTATTTTAGATAAGGGGACGAGCTGTTTCAAGAAATGTGAATAATAATCAAGTTAATGGTTATGTTATAACTCCAAATCATCAACGTATTGGTCGACGTGATGAACAATTAACAATATTGATTATGTATGAAGTTATTCTCTATGTTATTACTAATCTTCTCTATTCAATAAATATAACTTATTTAACAATTACATCCAATTATCCAAAAAGTGCTTATCAAATACATATTGAATCATTTATTACTTTTTTTTCATCACCATTTCTTGTTATTATCAATAGTTGTGCTCCATTTTATCTTTATTTTATTGTTTCTAGTAAATTTAGACGAGATTTAACAAAACTATCAAGCCTTAGCTATTGTCATCATCGTCAAATGCGATCTAAGCACAATAATGAACGCATAAGATTTACCTACACAACTACACGGGATCTAATATTTTCAAGCAGAATTCATCATTAGCTTTGGTGATATAAACAGTCGAAATCTATGTCTTCTAAATGTTTCATGTATTTTTATTTCTCAAATAAAATACACATCTAATCGTGATGAACGCTTTATATTATCTTGATTTAACATTTGACCATTATTAACTACTTCAGCTATTATATAATCCAACTGAAAATTTACGACAGAACTTTGTCAAGTGATAAATCACTTTTTTGATCATTACTAATTTATTTACATATATCTTTCTCCTTAAGTTATGCCCATTCTAGTGATTTTGTCAACAAAGGAAATAATTTCATTCAAGTCCCTTTCAAAATTCACCTTTCACTTCCAGAATTTAAATTCTTTGTAAATAAACGTGTTGAACATGCCTAGTTCAACGGGACAATGTAAGATTTTCTAGTATCACATATTCTTAGGATATATGTGTTGAAAATGCTGTTACGCGAAAAAAAAACTAAACTTGATGATCATATCTATATATCGTGATTGAAGAGTCCTGCAATTCTAACACTTTCACAATGAAATAATTATTTTTAAAACTTTATTTTTTCGAAATATTAAGTCGAATTCCAATTTAAAATGTGACTTTAAAAGAAGCATAATAATTCAATAGAAAATGCACTAAATCGGCTAAAATTCAACAGGAAAGAATACATGATGGAAAATCTTTGTAATTTTTTTGTTTACTCTTAAGAGTGTGCACTTAATGAGAAAAGATGCATGTCAAAATGATCTTCCACTTGGTAAAATTCCATATTTAGAACAAGATAAACTTATATAATAGAAAAATACTTATTTTACAAAAAATATGTATATGCAATTGATGAAAATTATGCAATTTTATTCGTAAAATTAACCTTTGAGGACGGGTTTACTTTTAAGAAAAAATAAAAATATTGAGAAGTCTAATAGGATTTTTTTATTCATATCGATATAAAAAAGTTTCTAAAATTATTTTAAAATATAATAAACTTGAAAACAACTACAAATATAAAGTCTATCTTCATATTCGGTGCATTCATGTTTAGTATCAATCCTCTTTTTAGCTCTTATTGTTGGTTTTACACAAACTACGCATTTTCTTTTAGCATTTCGTTTTACCGATATAAAAAGAAACAGATGATGAAAATGGCAACCACTACGTCTAATAGGATTGTCTTCAGTATCAGGTCGATCTGTTGATACTTTTTACTTCGCATACGTCTCAATTATCACACGAATTAGCTGTAATCAGAAGTCACAAAATCAAACAATTTTCCGGATCTCATGCTTGTATGAAATATCTGAATTCAGGAAGATCTATATGTGGGTCTTTTCTTCACTTAATCACATCAAAATCCGTCCACACCTACGCCTCTATATGTAGATGTGAAGAGATAACTATGCAAGGAAAAAAGAAAGATAAGCCGTATATGAAATCAGTGAAAGATGACGTAGAGCAAAAACACAGAAGTGATATGTGTAACAGCACACGAAAAAAAAAAGTGAATAAGGTTACGATATGGATAGCAATGTAACAGACTGACGGATTGTGTACTACAGAAGATCGTAACAATATCATGCAAGATGTGAACAATTTAACTAAGAGTTTAGTAAAACTGGATGTATATATATACCTCTTGTCCTCAAAGAGTTAGTTTATAAAACGTCTTTATCGAAAAAGCATCAATTGATAACAAGTAAATCAAATGACGTCAAGATAGACAAATAAAAAATAAATCGATTCGGTTATATCTATTGTAATATTTTCAAATGTTCGTGTTTTCTTTTATAACTTAATAAAAAAGAATCAGCTAATTTCAAAGGATTCTCTCGGATGGACTTTGATATGTATTTAAACTTAGTCTATTTTATTGTAATCTTCTTCTTCAATAAAAAAATCAACTTGTTCATCTTAGGACAACTTGAGCTCGAAAAAAGTTTTTTTATGAATATATAAATTTTCCTTCAAGAAAAAAAGCAACAATAAATATTCCATTATAAAAAAAAATATTTTTTCGTGTCTGTATTAATAAAAGTTGATGAAAAGAAAGAAACAGAAAAATAGTTTTAGAAGAGTGCAAATATGATTATTTTTATTTCGTATCATATTCTATATAGTGCTTTTGAAACCAACTGAAGAATGTTTTGGTTGATATATTTTAAAATAGTAGACTAGACCACCAATTATGCCAAGACATATTGGAAGTCCCAAACCAAGAGTAAGACCAAGAATTAATGGTAAATTCTTGTCAGCTATGAATCAATGATATTAAACATAGTTAAATCAAGAATATTTAACTTACATGTAGTTGGTGATTCCGTAGTAGTTAGAAGATCGTCCGATGTAATGTTTGAATTTGTTATTGTTGTCTAATTTGATTACATTAGATTTTTTATATAGAATTTCAATGTATATTTTACCGCATTGAATACAATATTTGTATTCATATTGTTAGCCTGAGAGGACAAATCGTTTTCACTGGCCTCCGCTGTAGTGTTAGTGTCAAAGCTACTAGTCATTGTAACTAATGCTATTGTTGATGTTGTTATGGTTGACTAATCAAGGAAATATATTCTTTTTATTCTATGACAATATTTTCTTACTTGTATACCAATATCCAACTTTGTTATTTTTGGTGTTTCCTGTGTTTCACTTGACTGAAGTTCTAATGCTGTATTAATGGTACTAGTCAAAGAAAAACAACAATCAATTTTTGTAATTATAATATGATTATCGATAAGACATACGTATCAATGCTATTAGAAGGTAAACTAGCAATTGGATTTGTACTTTACAAAAAGAAAAAAAAGATATAATAATTATTGACAATCGATATGAAAATATAGCTTACTTAGTTGGTGTGAAATCAAAAGAAGTTGCCGTCGAATCAGATTCTGTTTCACTTTGTTCAGTCTTTTAAATGCAAAATCATTACAAATTTTTATGAATGATTTTATTCGATACTTTACTGCATATGTTGATGCGCCTAATAGATTACGTACAGCTGCTTGTTTTGAATCATCTAAATATTAAAGGAATGTTTATTAATGTATGAAATAGTTGTTTTCTATTTTCAAAAGCTTTGAAAATAAGTTTCTAGTTTTTCTTTAACATGTACTATAATCTTCTCTCTAAAAAAAAACAAAGATAATGAAACTGATTCTCTTTACACTTACCAACATTTAATAATTGATCATTTAATTTAGATAAAATATCATTTTGACTTGACAAAACATTTATTCGCGTTTGATTCATTAAAATCTTCAGTATAGGACAGTCATCAACATTGATTGATGTTGACCGTGTTAAAACATAATGTATTGGAACAATTACCAAAATAACTAAATTCATAAATCATTATTAATTATAAAAGAAAAAAATTAAATAATATTTTATTACTAAAGATACTCAGTCTAGTTGACATGGTTTTCTGTGTGAAATATCCTTATAAATTTCGTCTCACTCGTATTTTTGAATCTAAGAAAAAAAAAAACTTCTTTCATACTATGAAAAAGAAGAATAATATAATAGTATGATCTTATAAATAAATCTCTTGGTTTAATATTATCAAACTGTCTGTCTGACGTATATGTCTATTGATAGTCAATTACAGTTTAACTGATAGTCTCGATAGTAACAAGTAATGTGTGGAAAAAAAACAGTAACAACATATGATAACTATAATGCAAAAACCCTTTTTTTTACATAAATTATCCCAACTTGTTTGTCACTTAATCTTTTTATAATATATGCAATCAAAACGAAAGAAAAAAAGCTTTTTCCATATCTTGAAATATTATATTCACATTGGTTTCTTGTCAGACTCTATTTACGAAGGTTAAGGTATCTTTTTGAATAATCTACAATAATTTTATTTGGTTATCTTAACTTTTGATAAAGTATTTTACATAATATATAATAATCGCAATGAAAATTTATCATAATCAAAAGTACTTCAATCATTCTTCGACACTCTTAAACCAGATCAAATTATTGCTATGAAACATGGTTTTCAAATGAGTATTAAATTTTATAATGAGTAAATTCGACATGAAACATTCATTTCTTTATGACATAAATATAATATAACTAATAACTTATAAAACCAAAATTAGTGTTATTAAAAACGAAAATAGATCTACCAATGTCTTAATAAGAAGTAAATCGACTAACAGAATCATTGTAAATATTATGGAAAATAACTGAATCACTTTTACTTTAGAAAACATAAGAAATTATTGAGTATAAACTTGTCTATAACATAATCAACGACTATATACTACTGAGATAAAATCTTCTCCTTTTTTTCCTATCGAAATTTATATGGATTTCTCTTTTATTTTATTAAATATATGATTGATGATGCACACAATGGACGACCACTTTTTGACATAGATGTTCATAATATATATATATGTATATACACAAATTAAAAGAGAACAGAAGAGTTGTAATTTGATTATACATAATAATCGATATTGTTAGTAATTTAGACAACATAGTTTATCCTTTTTTTTTTTATTGAACATTATGAATCAGATGTTATTACATCAGTTAAACCATAAGGTGTGGTTGTTTTTCCTAAAGTTGTTTTTTCAATAGTTGCATTAAGTAATGGTGTTGTTTGTTCATATTGTTGATTTTTAACATTTTCAACAAATGAAACAAATGTTGAATTATGTTTTATACTTGTTGATGGTGAATCAAGTAACATAATTGATGTTGCTTGTGTTATTGAACTAATACGTGGTCCAATAGGTTGATGATGATAACAAGTTAAAAAATGTTCATCTTGTTCATCATTAGTCATTATTGAATTTTGACGTATACGTTGATTTTTATTTGTTAATGGAATTTCTGATAATGAATAAGCACTACAAATACTTGGACGATAACTAGAATTTTGTGTTGGTTTTGGTGCAACTAATACTCTTGTATAACGTTTTCCATTTGAATAAAAATGTTCATGTATACCTTGTGATGGATTATGAATTAACATTAATCTTTTAGCACGTTTTGTTAAACGTTCTGATGAAGAAGAAAATAAAAAGAACTTATGACAAGTAAATAAACGACGAAGTTCATGACGAAAAACTCGACCAGTAAATGCATATAAGAAAAAATTTGAAGCTAAAAACAAAAGGAAAAAAAAACAATAATGAATCAATTTAAGAATTTAATTTAATTTAATATCGTTTTGTTTTTATTTCTTTTAAATAAACCTACAATGATTTATATATTGAGATATTTCAGCTATAATTTTTCCTATTGCAATACCAGCAGTTAATGTTGATGAACGTTGTTCAATATCACTATAAATAGCATCAATTAATTGCATTATTGATATTGGCATTGAACAAATACAAAATGCAAATGATACAGCTAATAACATTGTTGTTAAACGACGATTAACTCGTCGATATGCTAAAGCTTTTGTTGATGTATGTTTTTCTTCTTGATAGAGATGAGATGAATGTAAAATATTATGTTTAGATTTTTTAATGAATTTATTTATACTATTATTTGTTGTTGATGTTGATGAAAATGATGTTGAATAAGAATTTTTATGATGATTAATATTATTATCATTTGTTGTTTGTTGTTGTAAATATTTATTTGTACTACGTGCATTTAATAAACTTTTAATAATTAATATATTAAGTGTTATTAAAAGTGTAAATGGACAAAATGAATATTTAAATGAATCAATCCAAGTAAAATATCTTATAAATAATGATTGATCATTTAATGGTATACAATGTAATACAGTTGAAGATAAATGAAATGTCCATAAAAAATGTGCATTTATTAAGAAAAATATTGTAAATACAATTAATAATATATAACGTGCACGTTTAACTGTACAAATTTGACTAGCACGTAAAGGTTGAGAAACAGCTATATATCGTTCGAATGTCATTGCAACTGTTATCCAGACACTAGAAAATAATTTTTCGAAAATTTATTATTTAAGTTAAATATCCATTGAATATTTTTGAAAGAATTTTAAATTTAATTTTCTTCTAGAGAAAACATGTTTTTATTACACTCAATAGAACTTATGAGAAAACTATCTGATTCGTAACTTGCCGTTAGAACTTATATTGAGATCATACGAGAGTCTTGCAAAGACTAGAAAAAACCTAAAAGAATTTGTGCTTATGAATCTCTGTAGACAATCAATGATTGAAATTCTGATCTGAAATTCAACTTTTAGAGAGGTATAATGATCTTTAAAATATACTAAAAGTTTCAACCGAAAAGAATACTTCATTTGCTAAATTGTTATATTTCCGAGTAAATTCAATTTTTGTTACATGTCTGTGACAGGGGACCATTTGTTGAAAATTAAATATCTCGGCAAAGAAACATTCTTTTCGGCTGAAAATTTTTAGAACATTCTCAAGATCATCAGATCAATATTGAGACTGAATTTCAGATCGAAAATGTTTTTTTTTTGTTTGTTTTTCTAGTAAAAATTTAGAAATGAATCGAAAATTCAGTCATGCGTTTATAATGTGGCTCTAGAAGCTCAAGGGCATGAACCCTTTTTAGCTTATTCTAGTGTTATCGAGACTTTCTTATGGATTCAATACGAGTTCAAACAACGAGTTAACAATCCGGTTAGTTTCTTCATTAGTGTCATTCGAATATTTTTGTTTTGAGACAAACAAAACTTATGGCACAAAATAATCGTTATTTGTCATATTGGATTATTTATACAAAAATAACAATAAAATAAAATCATGTTTTGATAATCATGACAATCAAAAAAGATGTATTTTTATTATGTTTTATTTCAAATATATATTTCAGTTCAGTAGTCTTCTATTTTCACTATAAAAACCAACTATTCAATTATCTGAGTAACTATTACAAAGAAGAGAAAAGAAGAATGATGATTTTTTTTTAAAGGTTTTGACGAAATAAAACCTAAAGACATTCTGTCACTTCTCGTTATGACATTTATCTCTTAAAGATATTAAAAAAAGAAATATCTACATATCAAGTATAATTAAATATATTATTGCTTACCTACAATCAGCAAAAAAGAAAAATGCAAATGTGCCTAATTTACAACACATATTACATGCTAAAATTGGTCTTTGTTTGTCTAATAATTCTAACCATCGATTAAGACAACCAATCCAAAGAACAAATGTATCAGCAATAGCCAATGCAGCCATATAGAAACATGATGATGAATGTCGCATACGACCACGTCTCATAACAACAAATGTTAGCGTATTACAAGTTGTACCAATTAATAATAAACATGGTAAAATAAATTCTTCACTACGTGAAGCTATTTGAACAAAACGATTATTAAACATAAAATCTGATGTATTCGTTGATATAATTGTACTGTTCATTCTTATTCGTTATACTTTTAATAATAATGATTACATTTTATAACTAAAATATATAACAGAAGAAGAAGAAGAAAAAAAAATGTTATGATTGTAAATCGAGATATAGTGTATGACGTTAGAAAGATGATCATCATCATGTGATAGTTATCTTTCACATTTGAATGCATTGTTCGATACATGGTTGTCATCAATGAAGGACTACTATCGTGTACATACTTACATAAAGTCGAAGGCAGCGTTTTTGCCATACCAACATCGAAGAGGTTAGAATAAGCGCATTAGAACTTGGATCTCTACTTAACATCTATCGTCAAAATATCTTAAGGAGAAATTCTATTCTTTCGCAAATAATATATGCATATATATGGAAAAAGAATCTTAAATTGAAATGAGAAGATTATACGAGCGTGACTTCATGTTGTTTAAAAATCTTGATACGATTAAATATATTCTGTATGTCTTCATCTCATGACATATATATATATTTATATACATAAATGTTTATGATAAGAACAAATTTTTGTACTTATATCTTTATTCATCGTAGGATTCAAATAGAACTTACGGATGATAATGAGTTGTCTTAGTTCTAATTAATAATTGTGTTTTGTTTTTATTGACGCATCAAAATAGCTAGATATATTCATATTTTTAGAATTCTATTAAAATGTATCTATATACAATGAGCACAAAGTTTCCATTTGAAATTATTTTACTTTGTGGCAATTAACGAGGTGTCCTCCTTTTAGAATAAACATCAATTCTCTATTAACAATATATTTTTTCTACTTATTTAAAAATATATACTAAAAGGAAAGCCTATGGCATGAAATAGCAAATTGCTGCTTACTCATGTAAATTTTTTCTCTGATGTCAAGTGTTGCTTAAACTAAAAGGAAAATTTTGTACATCAATGATCGACAATAGAAAACAATTATTCAATTAGTAATAGTACTTTAACTATTCTACAACCGCCTACAACTTGTTATTTCAAGAATTACAAAAAGTTTTAATTGATACTATACAATAATATTCAATGAAAAAAAAATAAAACATAACAAAATCTACTTACATCTAATAAATGTCGATTTATACAATCAATATTACAAATTTCATCGTCAGATAATTTTAACCTTCGAAAAATTTCCCCGTCGACGATATTAAAAATCATGGCCAATCTTAGTTTTCTCATGAAAAAAAAATGAAAAAGAAAACGATTTGATTTTTTTTCAGTATGCGATAAGAAGAGAGATACATAGTCCCAGTAATAAAAAAAAAAACTACCGCCAAAAATTAAATCATGATTTGATGGTCGTTCCGCGTATATACATATACATAGAGTCCAATTACCCTCATTCATTTATTCATTCATTCATTTTTTGCCTCATCGACATATCTACTCAGGCGAACTGTCTATCGTCGGAAAATAGTTTCGCTATTCCGGGTTACGCAACTAGCAAATGCATCTTTTCTCTGTCTCTGTCTCTCTCTCTCTCTCTTGCTCAACCCATTAGAATTCTTGCTTTCTCGCTCGTCTCAAATATACATATTTTCATCTTCTTTCTTTTGTCGGATGAATGGGCGTCTCATTTGTCTTTATAATATGAAATAAGTCGACGTACTCATCACTTGAAAGAGTAAATGACAATGGAGAGATCAACAATGTATATTGAATTTTCTCAAGATTATACATGTGATTGTATAAGAGCTCATCATTTTCTCGTAGTTAACTGAATAAACAATTGAGAAACAAGTTGAAAGGATTTTCTAATATAGTCATTTATTAATCATCACCTTTTTCAATTATATAAATGATCATGTAGTATAGATTGGTTTATAAAGACCAATGTTATGCATGACAATATATATATTTTATGCAAACGAACCTTAATATAAATAGTTTTGGTTCATCATGTTTAGAACAACTAGAGACGTATTTTGAGTAAATAGACAAGGTCGATTTGATTAAGATAAAGAAGAGAAAAATATCAGTTATGTCGATAAGTGCCTACGATCTAGCAAACATGACACATACAAAACAAACGAAGAGCAGAAATAGAATGATGGTAATATTAAATAATCGATTATAAACCGATGATTGTTGATTTATGTTTACCATGTTTGTACGTTCAAACGACATTAAATAAATAAATATATTATCTTTTTCTTATAGACATGACAACAAAATAAAAACTAGAATATTTACTTTTTCTTCTTTTATTTATTTGTAATTAATATTATAAAGAAAAAGAAATATTTAATCTATATCATAAACTAATACTTTTGAGAGTTTTAAGCAGCCAACAAAGAATTATACATAAAATTTCTATTCCATTAGCAGACTTAATTCTACTCTAGTAAATTAAAATAACAAGAATTATATTCACATTTGACGTAGATAAATGACGTCGATAGTTCATCTGTTTTATTTTCATATTTAGTAAACAATTTATGAATTATGTCTGAATTTTTTGTTTTAAATACCTTGTAAACACGTTCTTTTTGTTTATATGTACGATCAACATGAGAAACTTCTCTCCTTTTTTTTGTTTCATTAATACGTGTATCAAGGAAGTGATCGATACACATATGTATACACATATATTTTATGTCAATGACAGACGTCAAGGACCATATGCTCATCCACCAACTTCAATTTAGATAAATGGGCGGGCTGACGACGACGACATGATGAAGAACGATGATATTGAACAGACTACAATGCTTGGGGCAAACATATGTCCGAATATCAAGTTCTATCTGATTGCATCATCACTATGTATATCATATATAACATAGTTGCTAACGCTTACTCGCTTAACGATTCGTTATGGATATACTCAATTATACGAATACCATACATTAAGAATTGTCGGCATATTGTTAAAGAAATTCTTTTGTTTAATAGATTTAGACAATCGAATATCGATTATTAACAAAAAAGAAAAGAAAAGAAAAGAAAATACAAATTAGATTGATTATAAATATGTAAATAATAAATTTTCATGATTTAATATTTTTCTTTTCAAATTTCTTTTGAAAAACAATGATCTAATATGATACTTTGATTTCTTCTATTAGATCATTCTAAATAAAATCCTATATGTCTATAATTAATAATCTGTATGCAAATAAAAAGAAATCTATATATTCTATTGTTATTTAATGACCTTGAGCATGATAAAAAAAAAAAGAATCTAAGAAAAATGAGAAAAGAAATTGATCATTTAAATATGTATGATAATGTAATATAATAAATGGAATTTGTTAATAACATTCTATCGGACAACTTCGACACATTTTTTTCTTTCTTTAATGCATATTTTCAAAACATAAAAGACCTTGATCGCTTGATTACTTCAATATCTTTTTTAGTTCAAAAACTATTGTGTCTATATTCTAAATGGATTTGTCTATTTGTTTTTCTCATGAATAAAAAGTTAATTTATTATAATTATCTTCATGGTCATCATCATATATACTTCAACAACTAGACAGACAAACATTGACATTGGTCAAATTATCATGTCTAACCACAATATTATCTTTCATACAACTATCTATCTATTTAGTATATAGAAACTAAAAGACTTTATGTCAACATGTATTTAATTCATATTAACTAATAGATATAAATTTATTGAAAAAAGGATAATTAACAGAAACATATTTAATGTTAGTTCTATCGAATCTCTAAAATGGAAGATTCTTTGTCTTTCTTTTTTTTTTGTATAAAAATTTATTAAGATTGAATAGAAATCGAGGAATGTACTTTTACTGACAAAATCTTATATATATATATATATGTATAATCATTCGAAAGAAGAAGAAGAATGAATTAGTGACACATACAGAATGAGAACTCTCATTATTTCTGGAACATAGTTCGACTGCATTTGCATTTACATGAACAAAAAAAGTTTTTCTTTCAAAGACTTGTTCTTTAGTCATTTACAAAACTATATATATATAGTTTCATATATCGAAATAATTGAAGTTTGTTTTTTTTTTATACCAGATAATATCAACGATCGTTCTAATTGTCATTATGTTCAAAATAATTTCTTTTTGTTTGAACTTTTGTATTGTAAGTGCGAAATTTTAAAATATTTGTTTGTTAAATTTTAACAAAATTTTGACACACATATATTCATCTAATATATTGTAGTTTGATGAGTTTAAATATAAATTATTAAGTAGCTAACGATCTCTATGTATTAAAGATGAATTTAAAAAAACGAAAGAAATAATAATCGATTGATTAGTTCATGTCAATTATTGTTAAACGATAATGAATCCTCAATAATCTAAACTGAAGTCTATTAGAACTAACTAGATACAATAGTTTGTTTTGATGTTGTGTATTGAAATGAAATGACAGGTAAAAAGAACATTAATTGAATACTTCAAATATTTATTAAAGAGAAACTCCGGAACAAGATGTTCTTGAAAAAAATTATGATAATTAGGTAAATCCTTTTTTTTTTAATCTTATAAAAACCATTTCAAATATGTAGACAAATGAATAGCAAAGATTTCATAGGGAATAGAAACACAAATCTTTTGAAAAAACATTATTTAAGTCAGTACAAACTTGATGGAGTTTTTCTAGAAATACTAAAAAAAATCAATCTTTATAACTCATCCATTTTATGTAAAATCGAATTTTTAACTTCTATGAAATCAATGACTAACTCTTATTAAATTATTCTATGCATATATATAATTAGTTTCTATTATTACATTCTGTCAATGAAATATTTCCTTCAAGCTATATCTCTTGTAATTACATCTTGAGCTATTCGAAGTCAATTTTACACTCAAAGAAATACTATAAACATTTGCCATAAAATCTTTATAAGTACATTCAATAGGTACCCAGACTAATTAGGTCTTGAATGCAAAGTCTACATATTATATTATTGTTTCTAGACATGAAACTAGTTGGTAGTATTAATGAAAATTACAGAAAAATTGCTGTAATTCATCTTTATTTGAAG